ATATAATAGCACTTTGTTGTTTGATAAACCAAATATAGTTTAATAATTAATAATTAATGGTCATTTAAAATATTTTTTTACAAAGAGTGCAACCTTTTTAATATGTAAAGTTTTCTTAAAATAATACTCCATTTTACCAAATAGTTGTTACTACACTTTTTAGTTCTATAATATTTTAAAAATTCTTTTAAGAATTAGCGAGACATAAACATTTGTGACTTTTAACACCATAACTCTCCACCAAACTTTTTTTTTTTAAAAAAAAATCTTTAATTTATAAGGATATGATATTTTTTTAAATATCTGTATTTTAAAAATATTCCAATACAAAATGCAAATATTAGCCGACACATATAATCTCTTGTAAACTTTTGTCAAAGGCTTAAGGGGTATAATTGAAACATGCACACAGGAATATGCATGGATTTTATATATTTTTCCTCTTTATTGAACTTTAAAAGACATCATTTTAAGTTTAAGAATAAAAATAAAATAGCCTGCATATTTGAGCTTTAGTACCTTTGTTTTGTTGGTTTTATTTGAGCTTTAGTACCTTTGTTTTGTTGGTTTTATTTGAGCTTTCTCATTTAAATATCATTCTTTTAAGGATTATATATGAATATTTTTATATATTTTTATTAAACTAATTATTTTAATCACAATTGGATTGACCCCGATTCAACGATGGTTTAAACCACTTATCCTTAAATCACTATATTAATTAGTTCAATAACCAATTCATAATTTAGTATATTAACTGTCAAAAGTTTATAAGAAAAAGGGCAGGTCAGCCCATTCATCATTATAAATGTGTTTGATTGGGGCTATATAATGGGTCTTCTTTTATCCAAAAAAAAATTTGGGCAAAAGAGGACCCGTTACATAGCCCCAATCAAACATGTTTATAATGATGAATGGGTTTAATATTACTAAAAACATGGATACTGAGAAATTGATCCATGGAACTATTCTTTGATTGGGCTTGGACTTGGACGAAAGGAGTAAGAATATAAAAAAAATGATAGTTAGGTTCCAAAATATTAAATTAACATCAATTAAGTTCCTGATAAATTCTTTTGTCAAATATTAAAATTATTTTGTCAAAAGTTAAAAATATCAATCTAAATTATTATAAATTCAAGAGTTTTAATTGCAAATACATATTTAAATATTAAATATAAATTTTAGATTGTAATAGATATTTTTGTTTGTAACTGCTTGAATTAATATTTATAATTTTTTATAAAAAATTTTGTTAGAAGACTTAACTGATATTAATTTAATATTTTTGGGACCTAACCATCATTCTCTCAAGAATATATGGAGATGTAGAAAAGGTTATTGGATATTTGGATGTAGAGAACATATTTTATTCATGATAGAATTATTATTTTACATAGTTGATGGTTTCAAGATTAGTAAAAACTAGACTTCACTTGTAATGCTTTCATTATAACCCTACCACTTCGTCTCTTGTAAAGTTTTGTCAAAGACTTAAGGGGGCTAAGTGAAGCAAGCACAACAAGAACCTCCATTTTATTATAATATATAATATATAATATATAAAATACGTTTTGACAATATCAATTGACAAACTTTTAACAATTGACTAGCAACTCTAAACATGATTAGATATGTTTTGGTAACAAAAATAATGTCAATTACTCTATATTATTAAATTTTAGATAGTGAGTTACTTCATTATAAATATCTTGAAGGCAAAGATACTCCTTAATCTAAAGTTAATATTTAACGTCAATGTACATTAACCAAGGGATAACATAATTGTTTCGACACTTGAGAAGTGATAATAACTAGTTTTGAGCATCTAGCGCTCATCATGAAATAATTCAAATTCAAAAATGCAGTTTAACTCAGAATAATTTAGTTTAAAATAAAAATTTAAAGTATCAAGTTGATTTAAATGTTATATACTCCCTCCGTCCTAAATTATAAGATACTTTTAAATAAAATCTTATACACATATAAACTTCATCAAATGCATTTAACAACCTTATTTTTTTAAAATAAAAATATAAACTTTTAAAAATACTTATAATTTAATATATTAAAAAGAGAAAGGATAGAAATTAATTATAGAGAGAAAGAAAGAGTAATATTAGAATTGATACATTTAATGAAACCTTAATTTACCCAAATTATTTTATATTTTGAGACAAAAAATTTTTTTACAAGTATTTTATAATTTAGGACGGAGGGAGTATAAATTAATATAATTGTCATAGTTAAGTAAATTAGACAAAATGTTAATTTTTTGGTTGAATTTAATTTGGGTAAATTATGACACTCTAATCCTTTGCAGAAGTGACTTATCCAGCTTATTTAACTCTCTTCAATGAGCTTTAATCATCTCACTTCCACTGCAAATGCAGGGGACATCTCAGTTTTAGATATTTGCTTCTCAGATTTCAGTCTTACTTCGATTTGCAGCCAAAGGATAATAGTTATGGACTTGTGATCCTTACTTTATTCTCTTCTTCCGTTGCTAGTCCTCTTTTTTCTTGTTCAGGAAAATGACAATTAGAAAACTTATAAAAATATTAATGATAATTACCCATCTTGAATTTTAGAATCATAATAAAAGATCATGATCCTTATTTATAATAAATTATCTTTTATTAATTAGCTTAAAATTCATAAAGGACTTTTGTAAATTCCCAACTAACTCTAAAAATATTTTTAAATATCTTTTGTTGATTTTCCAACTCTCAACTAAATTTACAAATAATTTTCAAGTGTATTTTTTTAAATTTCTCAAGCAATTTATTTATATGTTGACAGTAAAAAAATTACAAATGATTAATTTGCGATTCACAGCTGACTCTCTTAAATTTTTAATTAATATTATAAATAATTTTAAGTATATTTTCTTGATTTATAGAGTAATTTATTTGTATATTGATAAAAAAAATCAAAATTCACAATTAACTCTCATAAGTTTTGAACTAACACTATAAATAATCTCAATTGTGTTTTGTTGATTTCCTAACTTATTATTCATATTTTTTAATTACAAATAAGAGCTATGGTTTATTGTTATGATTTCAATAATTTATAGTTTGTAATTATCATTATACCATCATAGAATTCCTAATTATCATTTTCCCTTCTTGATGCCCATCCCAATGAAATGATGATGATCTGGATTTACTTTTATTTATTTTAAATTTTAAAATATTTTAATTTTTAATGTTATTGTTTATGATATTAAATTTTATTTATTTTTTTAAATGCTAAGACCTTGACTCATTTAAATAAAAGTTGAAATTAAAAAAATGGTAACTTAGGAGAAACTGTGTTTATAGGCCTCAGCCCATATGAGCCGATCCCATGTTTATTGATTTTAATTTTTAATATTCAATCATGCTTTCAATTTTTTAGTTAGAAGGATATCTCTAAGGGAGAATTACAATCAGATTGCATATAAAAAAATTAATTACTGCAAGACTCATTAATAATTTAACTAAACTGCATTGGCAATATATGTTAATATAGTTTAGTTTAGTTATCAATAAGTCTTGTAATAATTAATTGGGAGAATGATAAATAAGGACTTTGTGAAAATATTAATATCACATTAGGACTTTTCAACATTGATGTTCCAAAATTTCAGTACTACTTCTACCATATTTTAGTATCAAAGTTTCTTATTTGACATTAATGTTCTCACAAGATCCTTATTTGCCATTCTCCTTAATTAATTTTCTTGTATGAGACTTTAATGTAATTCTCCCTATTTCTAAACAATAAAAAAATAATTTTATTTTCAATTTTTTTTACTAAGCCCTCTTATTAGTTATCAATAAAAAATACTTATTTAAATGTTAAAATTTATAGAAATTTACTATAACATTTTAAAATGTAAAAAAATGTTTTCTACCCATAATTTAAAATTGGGCTTTGTAGATTTAAAAATGTTATCTACACTTAATTTTAAAAAAAAGTTTGGGCCACATGTAAACTTAAAAATAGAGTTGAGAAATGAGAGGGTTCAGCTCATTAGGACTTGAGTCTTAACTCTAATTTTTCATTTTTTTACTTCTTTTTTGAAGCTTAACTCTTAATTAAAGGGTTTAAGGTTGGGCCCGCAAGCCTTGTTCTGAAAAAAATTAAAAAAAATTAAAATAAAATTAAGCACTATAAATTAATTAAAATATTTTAAAATTAAAAAAATTAAAATTTTCATAATTTTTTAAAAATTAAACAACATACATTTAAAAGTCTAGTAATAAAATTTAAATATTGGTTAAAAAAGTTCATTTTTTATAAATATACAAACATAATAATTAAAAAAATAAAAAAATATTAAAAAATTTATATTATACACTAATGTTTATTAAATTATATTAAATCAATTTTAAAATAAATTAAAATTAATAATAATATAATGTGTGCAGTATCAAGATTTCTGGCGAGCACGTTTTTAACTTTAAACCCATGTTTCACAAAAAAAAATTAATACTTATATAACAGGGCTTGAAGGGCTGACCAGGCTCGAACCCTTTTTTATACTACTTATTAGAATCAAGCCTTTAAACACGGTAACTTTAAAAAAATTATTTTTAAATCTTAAATATTTATTTAAACAAGGCCTTCAAGCCTAACATTTTAGACCCAACTTTTATTCCTAACTCTATTTAAAAACAACCATTGCTTTTTTTTTTTGGAGAAAATTACACCTAAATTTTATATAAGAAATTTATTATTGAAAGGTCTTATAAAATTCATAAAATATTTTTAAAACTTAAATTTTAATTATTTATAACTTGATATAGCAAGTTATAAATACTCATTATTCAATTATAAATACTTTTTATTAAGTTATAAATATATAAAATTTGAGCCTTGGTCTTTCATGAATTTTGTGGGATCTTTTATTGACATTTTTGTTTTTTTTTTGTGTTTTTTTTTTTGGAGAGCTTGGTGTAACTTTCGTTCTTTTTGCCTGCACCGGCCCTCCATTTTAGCTCCATCACCATTTAAGAAGCAGCTTGAAGACGAACGGCGAGAATGCAGCCAGTTCTGGGATTCTCTCTACTTAATAGGACGCCGTTCCGCGACCCTACTCAACTCTTGCGCTTTGAAAGAGGAAAGCTCCCGTCTCAGTGCCCTAGCTCCGATGATCCTTGACTCCACTATCCAATCTGCGTGTTACCTGACCTCTCTCCGATTTCTGAGATTCAAAGATTGTTCAGAGGGCCTGGAGATCATTTACAATCCATTCTCGTCCTTTCCTAAACCTTCTTCATTCTTCCCACTACTGTAAGTCCTCTCATATTCCATACCTATGTTTGTAGCATTTGAATTAATCCTTGGAAAGCTTGCTCTGTTTCTCTTTTCTCGTAGCTCTCGAGTAAATCTCAAGATATGCCTCTTGACATTACTTTGCATCTACACAGAACAAAAGTTTCGTTGGCGGACACATGCCCCTTAGTTTTGTATATAATTCTTGCATTGTCAACAAACACCATAGGTGAGATTGCAAGATTTTAAGTTGATATAAGATACACACAGTGTAATGTAATAGAAATGGAAGCACTAGTGCAAGAGATCACGCTACAAATTTTATTACTACTTCAGAGTTATTCGATGTATCAAGATTCCCTACGTATTCTTAGTGATCTAGAAAATGCACGTGTAATTTGAACTATCTAATCTAGACATGGATGCCTTAAATCCTCTTAGAATTAAAAAATAATAACAATAATAAAATTTGGATAGTCCAAAGATGATTTTGACAATCTAAATTAGACAAGTGACTTGAACATATCTATTTTTGTTTACAGGAACTTTTGACCTGCTAAAATAAGGACATGACAGAACAGATTGTTTGAATTAGAGTGAGCAAAAGGAGAAAAATTGCAGCAAAGAAAGATGCTATTTTCCAAGGAGTGCTCAAGTACTCATTTTTAAAGATTGCCTTATAGTTGTGGTAAGGATTCTCATAAAACTTGTTCAGTTCTTAACGCAGAGAGAGATAATCACCATTGCAAGTCATAAAGACATTGTTTTTGTCAAGATTGTTGACTAAGGAAGCCACTTCTTCATTGTTACCCAACAAGTTGTCCATGATTCCCTTCTTAACAAGCACTTCAATATCTTTTCCAGTGTCAAAAAGATAATTCAAGAAGGCTATGTATTTAGTCACATAGCTTTCAAGAGCAAGGTGACATTGCTCAAATGCAACCAAATTTCTGATTATAGTCTCAGTCCAATCACTTACTTTGGAAATATAGTATTTTCATCACTCCCTCTGAATATTTTAGCTCAGTTATGCTTTTGCATTGTTCATTGACCCAAAATTTGATTCCTGCCTCATGTAGTTGGCTTGCACAATATATAGGCTTCAGTCTGCCGTATTCTCTTCTTGGTAATTGATCCGGAAAGTAAAAGATCCTTAGCATATCATTCAGGTGATGGATCAATTTTGTGAATGTAGGTGATTTGGATGGAGTAGTGCTGACCAGCTGTTCAAGGTAGTTTTGCTGAAAATAGTTAAAAGTAAAGTCCATAATAATTTCCTTTTTTGGACCAAGATGTTGCAGGAACACCCTCCTAAAAAGTTGAAGGCTATTTCAACGAATGAAAATCTAGCATTGAAGCCTGTGGGAAAACTTAGGTCAAATAGGCCTTTGAGAACAAAAAATGGCAGTTGATTCCCAAGTAAAATAAAGTCTTGATTTATATCGCATGTTGGCCATAATTTGAAACTCCAAGGGTTTCGTTCTAACAGACCTAAACATGAGATAAAGTACTCAATGATGAAAGAAGCATCAATTAGGATCATGTTTGTAAAATCATCACTCTCCACTGGAATGGTGTCTGAATAACAGCATCGAATTCTATCTTCCCAATCTCTTAGGGCTTTAACATAATCCTCCAACAATTTCTCGAGTCCTTTCTAGAAAGTTGTTGAGGCACCATAGTTTTACCTTTGCCATTGATTCCAATCTCTTGTCTCCATGGTGAAATGGCCCAATTGAAACTAAGGTAGGAGAGCAGGCTTCTTCACTCACTTCCTGAGTTTTTGGTGGAACTTTGTAGATGCAGCATCCTGATGCTGAGGGAAGCTCTCTATGCCTTCTAATTTGGCTTTTAAGGAGCTTAACAAATCAGGTATTTGTTCTCTTTTGTTCTCCATTACCTTCATTTTCTTACGATCATTTGATGGACCTGAAACACAATTAAGTATTGAAGTGGGAAGAATTTAATCCTAGGGTCTCCTTTTGAGCCATAATAAAATATAGCCAACAAATACTGGTTCAACTTGTAAATGTTGGTCTTATGTCCTACAGGGACTTGAGTTTTAATGTTGCTGTTGTTGATGTGAAGGTCTTGTGAGTGTGAGCATTCTTTGAAACTATAAAATCTCGTTAGCTTGTGTGAAGCTTGTCCTCTCTAATAAGTCTATGATATCCAACTCATCATCAAAGCATTGCATTTTTTTTTTAAATAAAATACAATTTCTATGTGGAAAAATTTTCTAACCCTTCTAAAGAATTTTCTAATACTAGTCATGTGAAAAGACGGACTTGGCTATCCTAGCAATATAGCTACTTTGTCATTTACTCTACATTTCTTATTCACTCTCAAAAGTTTAAGCATATGATAGAAAAACTTATCCTTTTTGTTGCATGAATCTGATCTTTTAGACTCTTGAAGTTCAAAATCAGCAGTACCATGTTTTGTTGCAGATATGTTACAGTAAGAGATACAAGGAAGAGGTACTTAACCTGATGTTTTGAATGATGTAGCCCTGTAACTGAAGAGAAGAGCATATCACCAATCGGAAAGACAAGACCTTACTCTATCAATTTCTAAACTCATCGAGCGATCAAAGCTTTAGGCCTTTTGTACACTCTATAGTGCTCAAGTCATCAACTTGAAGTCTTTGGAGACACAATAATACAGTTCAAGTCTGACAGAGTCAAAAACATGTGGGGTCCAATCTTAAAGTCTTGCCACCTTAAAACGAGCGTTCAATTTGCCAATTTGCTTTTATGACTTGTGCTTTCAGTCTCCTTCATGAAAACTTGTGGTCATGCTAGGATTTTTTTGTCGGTCTCCTTCCTTGTTGCAACGTACAACTTAGAATGATGTACCTTTGCAAATTCTCTCTTGATAATGAAAATATAGAAACATGAGAAAAGGGAGCCTATGCTTCCATCGAGTTTGATTGTAGTTTTTTTGAGGTTTTTTTTTTTTTTTGAAAACATAACTTTAGTTCTATACACTTTACTTGAGTTTTGTTAAAGGTTTCTGATTTTTTTTCCCAGCATTCCAAGCCCCTATAAAATAAAAGTGCATGGACCTAGAATATTGAAAAAAAGTATAGGGATTTATAGCAAAATTCGAGCAAAGTGCAGGGATTCAAAATTATATTTTTCCTTTTTTTTTTTGAAATCCCAATCCCTGTCCTTTGCAATGTTAAGGACGTTGGTTCTTTTACTTTCAAAATCTCTACCAGAGGACATTCACGTAAACTAGAGATTGGGAAAATATATTTTTCCTTTAAAAACTATTCACTTCAGCTTTGCTATGAAATTTTTTCTCTTTACAAAACTTGCTAGATTTTTAGTTAATATGGTTACGTATTTCTTCAGGTTCTCATTTTCTTCACAAAATTCTGTTCTACTCCGAAGGGTTAACTTGGACGAAATCCTCATATGTGGTAAGAAGTTTCCCCATATCAAACAAGTCACGCATCATAAGTTTCTTGAATCTCAGATAAATTTTTTTTTTTTAGCATGTATATATTTACCATATTGCTTTCAATTGATTTAATAGAAAAAACAAATAACTTTCATGCAAGAGTAAAAAACGCTTGATTTTCTCACTGATTCACCTGACCCTATAGCTGAGGTTTCATGTTTTTCAGTTGATGTGAGTTTCATATCAGTGTTTTCAGAACCGGACCGGACATTGAACCGGAAAAGTCAGCGGTTCACGGTTCGCATGGTTCAACCGGTTGGACCAATGGTCCAACCGGTGACGTAATAATTAAATTAAAAAAAATTATATATGTATATAATAATTTAAATATAAGAAATACTTATGAAATTGCTATTTAACTTAAAAAACTTAAATATTTTAAGTTTATCACGACTTAACAAACTATATGATACACTATAATATCAAATGATTAAAAAAATTAGTCATTTTTTTAAAAAAATTTGATAAAAAAAAAAAAAAAGTTTTTTTTTGAACAGTCCGGTTTTTAAAAACCGGATCCGGTTCCCGGTCCGACCGCCGGTTCGAAACGGCTCAACCCGGCTTAACTCTGAAAATGGTTTTTTCCTTTGAACCAGACTGGAAACCAGACCGGTCGACGGTCCGACCGGCCGGTCCGGTCCGGTTTTCAAAACAGTGTTTCATATAGTGTAATTTAGTAGGGAAGGAGCATGATGAGAAAGATCACGCAGCAAAAATAATACTTGAGAGTTATTCAAGGACCCTAAATTTCCTACCCCTTTCTTAAAGATATACAAGATGCATATCTAATTTGGAACCATCTAAATCAGATATGAATGGTTTAATTTCTTGTAGAATAAAAAACTAATAAAATTAGGATATTCCAGAGAGGTGATTTTGACAATCTAATGTTGTACAACAGCTTTTGATCTAGTGAAATAAGGGCAGAGAGAATATTGTTTGAATTAGAGTGAGCATAAGGAGCAAAATTGCAGCACTGAAAGATGCCATTCTCCAAGGGGTGCTCAAGTACTCATGCTTAAAGATTGCTTTATACTTGTGATAACGATTCTCATAAAACTTGTTCAGTTCTTCACATAGAGACAGATACTCACTATTGCAGGTCATGAACACAGTATTTTTGTCAAGTGTGTTGACCAAGAAAGCCACTTCATCATTGCTACCCAACAAGTTGTCCATGATTCCCTTCTCAACAAGCAGCTCAACATCTTTTCCAGTGTCAATGAGATAGTTCATGAGGGTTACATAATCTGTCACATAACTCTCAGGAGCAAGGTGACACTGCTCAAATGCAACCATGTTTCTGATCACAATCTCAGTCCAATCACTTACTTGAAAATATGGTATTTTCAGCACTCCCTCTGAGTATTTTATTGCTGGTATGCTTTTCTCTTGTTCATTGACCTGAAATTTAATTCCTGCCTCACGTAGTTGGCTTGCACTATATACAGGCTTCAGCTTGCCAAATTCTCTTCTTGGTAACTTATCTGGTAAGTAAAAGATCCTTAGCATGTCATTCAGGTGATGGATCACTTTTGTGAATGTAGGTGATTCAAATTGAGTATTAATCGGTTGTTCAAGGTAGTGTTGTTGGAAATAGTTAAAAGTAAACTTCCCACGAACTTCCTTTTTTGGGAAAATATGGTGTAGGAACACTCTCCTAAAAAAGTTGAAGGTTATCTCAATGAAGGAAAATCTACCATTGAAGCCAGTGGGAAAAGTTATGTCGAATAGGCCTTTAAGAACAAAAAATGGCAATTGATTCTCAAGTAGAATCAAGTCTAGATTTATGTCACATGTAGGCCATAATTTGAAACGCCAAGGGTTTATTTCTAACATACCTAGACAAGAGAGAAGGTACTCAATGATGAAGCAACCATCAGTTAGAATCATGCTTACAAAATCATCGCTCTCCATCGGTATGGTCTTTGAATAACAACGTCGAATTTCATCTTCCCAATCTCTTAGAGCTTTAACATAATCCTCCAATGATTTCTCTTCACTCCTCGTTAGGAAGTTGTTGAGGCACCATAGCTTGACCTCTTCCATTGATTCCAATCTCTTGTCTCCATGGTGAAATGGACCAATTGAAACCAAGGTAGGAGTCTAGGCTTCTTCATTCACTTTCCGAATTTTTGGTGGCACTTTGTAGATGCAACATCCTGATGTTAATGGAAGCTCCAAAGAGTCTATAGCTTCTAATTTGGCTTTCAGGGAGCTTAACAAATCAGGTTTTTGTTCATTTTTGTTTTCCAATATTTCCACTTTCTTACAATCTTTTGATGGACCTGCAACACATTTAAAAAACAAAGTGATAATAAGAATTTAGCCCTACGATCTTCTTTTCAGCTTCAACAAAATTTAGCTGACAAGAATTTGTTTCTAAGTATGTTATTGATTCGAATATTGTATTAGCAGGTAATGTATATGAACTCCTGTAAACCTTCTTTGAACTATAAGATCCTGCTAGTGTTAAGGTTTATCCTAGCTTTAATTAGTCTCTGTTAAGACTTAAGACCCACCTCATTGCCAAAGCATTCAATTTTTCAAATTCTAATGTAATATTGTTTGGTATACGGAAAATGTGTTTTCTGGAAAAAATGAGAAATTTTAGAAGAACACTGTTTTTTACCTGCAAACACGGTATAAAATGACATTATGGAAAAATTTTCTTATGAACTTTATCTTCCTTTAACTCCCTGATATTAGGGGATACTAGTAGATTATTCCCCTGAAGGACCAACCTAGCTGCCCGAACCCCTAGCTAGCTACTTTATAACCTCTTGGAAGTTTAAGCATATGATAGGAAAATTTGTCCCTTTTGGTCTCTGAATTTGATCATTTTAAGCCTCTCAGAGTCTGAGAATAACACAGAAAGATAATCTGAATAAGCAGCATTGAGTTTTGTTGCAGATATTACAGCAAGAGAGACGAGAGGGAGAGAAAGAGAGATACACACACAAATACACACTTAACCGGTGAAGAAAATAGCAGATATCGCCGGCAACACAAGACCTTAATTTCACTTCTGAACTTGTCAAGTAGCTTTTAGGACAATTTAAAGTGGTCAATGAACCTCAAGTCTCAAGTCTCCGGTGATTTGGTAATATATCCTTTATTTTGGATGACACACATGGTGCAACAGCTTTTATTTATTTTGATGTCATTGGATTTATTTATTTAAAGTAGGACGAGTTCCAATCCAAATTAGTGTTAATTAAATACTGTATCTGGTTCTATTTATAAGATACCTTTTAAAAGTAATTTTTAATTTAAAATATGATACTTTGTAATAATTAAATTACTTTTTCAATTTTATTTCTTTTTAATTAACGTAAAAGTATTTAATATAGTTATGTTATTATTTAAATTTAAGAGTAAAAATAAAAGTATATATTTTTTTATAATATAAATTAATTTTCTTCTAGAAGTAATTTTTAATTCAAAATATGATACTTTGTAATAATTAAATTATTTTTTCAATTTTATTTTTTTTAATTAACGTAAAAGTATTTAATATAGTTATGTTATTATTTAAATTTAAGATTAAAAATAAAAGTATATATTTTTTTATGATATAAAAATTAATTTTTTTTAAAATGTGTAAAATGATTAAAAGTGTTATATAATAAAAATAAGGGGAAGTATATATTACAGTGACCGTGCCAGCTCTTCTTGTTTAGAGTTCAAATTTTATAATATTTATGTGTTTTAAAATTCCGCATATGTTATGTCAATACAATATTTTAAGCACGAATCCCTACTTTTTGGGGCTAACAAAACTAAAAATACGAAAAAAAAATTCTAAAGGCAACAACCGACATGTCACGTGTCTCCCGTTGAAGTTTGGATTATATCAATGTTTATTTAATTATTTATTGACCAGAAAGATTATACCAATAATGTGTGTCTAAACTTTCAAGAAAGTCTGGCGCCTTAAAAGATTATATACAAGTGAAGTGGCCAAGCCAACAACTATGGCGCTGGCCTAAATATTTTCTTATTTAAAAATACATAATAATACATCCTAACAGAACAAATCTATGGGAATGAAATAAAGAAATTGGCCAAAAAAAAAAAGGAATGAAATAAAGAAGAGAGAATGACATAAAGTAAGGGTGTATAGGGGATAAGATGGGATGGGCACACCTTTATCTCATGGCCTGTTTCAAAAAAAAAAAAAAGATTGAAATTAAATTTTTATTTCGGGTCCTTTCTCGCCCCTAAAGTCATCCCATCCCATTAGAAATCAAGACAAGACCCAAACGAGATTGAGATGTTCTGTCGTCTTGATAAATCAGGCGATGTGGAAGAAAAATCTAAATAATAACATTTATTTAAATTTTAAATTATGTAATTTATTAAATTTAAAATTAAAATAACATAAGTACATATATTATAACAATTTAAAGTCAATTATTAAATTGTATTAATCACAACTGTACATTATGATAACAATTATAAGTGATATCTAGGCTATAATATAAGAGTAGCAATAACAGGCATGCCAAGCACAATATCAAATCATTATTTTTTTACTTTAATTGAGATGTGTTAAGTTAATTACTTTTTTGAAAATAAAGTAAGAAATACGATATAAATTAAAATTATTAAATAAATAGATAAAAGAATAAATTGTATTAATATAATTAATATATTATAAAGAAATATATCACCCTATTTACTCTATATGTCATTAAAATTGTCAATATAAAAAACTTTAGTTTTATATAAGAATTACAAGTATTGAAATTATAATTGATATAATTAATATAAATATAAATTATATTAATATAATTAATATATTTAATGTAAATAAAAATAATATGTATTTTTATATATAATATTTGGTATAGGAATGTCCTGATGGTAATTTCGTATTTTGTCCCGTCTTGATTGTTTTTGGGTCGGAATGAGATTCGTCCCAATATGATTGAAACGATATCAGGCTAGTTGGGATGGGTATAAGCTGAACGCCCCTAACATAAAGGTCTTAAAAAGATTAATTAATTTAAGTTATATTTTAAGTATTAAATTTTAAGAATTTACAACTAAATTTCTTAATTTTTCAACTATAATGTGATGAATTTGCAACTTATATTGTAAATTTTAACATGAAAAATAATTTTTTTATTCTTTAACCATATTAAAATTTAAAAAATAAATTATAAATTCATCATAACGTAATTATAAAATTGAGTGATTGAGTTATAAATTTTTAAAATTTGATAGTTGAACCTAACTTAAATTAAGTGATGCTTTTGAGATTTCTTTATCATCCTCCCAGTAAAGAATAAAAAGAAGAAACCTAATACTTGAAAAGGAGATTATTTGCAATGTTAAAAAAAAAAAAATCAGATGATTGACTTGGTTGATATACCAGTTCACGCCTTATTGATTAAACAATATTGGTCAGTTCATGAGAGAAGTAGTTATTATTAAAATACTATATTTTCACTTTACATCAATTACTTCATATAATAGATAATAAAAGAAAGAACAAAATATTAATTATCATGTAATGATTTTTTTTTCAAATTAAAGAAAAATACTAAATAGCAATGTTTTTAAAAAAATGGACCCAGCATTAAATTAAATAAGACACTGATTCAAAAGTTAATAGTTAGACTGTATTTGAATCATTGTTAGACTGATTATAATTAATTTAATATTTTTAAATTATATATATAAACCATAAAATAAATCCAAATATAACCATAAATATCATTTAATAATATTAAGATGAAACCATCCATAAATAATTTTATTTCCTTCTTATTTGATTATTTCAAATCAATCCCCACCTGACGCGCAGTGAAAATTTGCAGCTTGCTGGTTAATATACTGCACACTTGACCTGCAGATTGCAAGTTTGAATTGGCAGACGTGAAAGAAAACAATAAAAAAAATAATTCCCACCTGATGCTCATTTTTTAATATGATAATATTAAAATGGAGCAGTCACGTTAAGAGAACGGATTGCAAGCATCCTTCCTCTTCATGGGGCCCACATTATCGAAATACAAAAAGTTAAAAAATCCCATTTTCATCCGAACATCCGTCTTCTTTTCTTTTCTTTTTTTTTTTTTTTTGGTTGCCCACGATGACAGTGAGTCTCAATACTCGACATTTAATGAGGGGATTGTAGCATTTATTATAATAAGTTCATTTGTATTTTTACACTCATTTAAAGATACGAGATGTTCTTAGAAAAAAAATTTATTTAGGTTTTTTTTATTCTTTAACTTGATATCTTTCATCATCTCCATCATTGTTTTCTCTCACACCCCTCCCTTATGTTTTTCTTCTTGTTTTTTTTTTTTCGTTTAGATCCTACCTCCTAAACTGGCTGAACTAGTTAGCCAGTCGGTTTTTTTGATTCATTGACCATTTTGTTGGTTCTTGATTGATTCAACTAATTTTTGGTTTTTCTGCCTCAACTAGATTGGACCAATTATAGATTCTAGGTTCAACTGATTGAATCAGACAGTTTAGTTATTAAAACTTTAATAAATAGAATTAGGAATTGATTTGTGTCATTTTTTTTTTTACACGGAAAGAGAAGCACATATTAATCGAGGGAATGAAATAGAGTTCAACAAAAATAAATGAACAAAACTAGAAAAAGCAGCAACAAAACATCATACGCTAAAAATGCAGAAGCACCAGAAACTATTCAACAGATGGCTTCGTTATCAGCTTCTCCCAACTGCTCGTTCATAAAAGAAAATACATGAAACACTTAAGCCATCGAGTCTCTGAGAATCAAATCAGCTAAAGGAGGTGGTTGTGATAACACCCAACTAGATTATTCCAATTCCCTTGAAGCCACAGTAGCCATCTAGCTGGCGACACAATTCATATCCCTAGGAATGAGAGAAAAGGAGACAAAATTCAAAAACTCAATTTCAACAAGCATATGTTGTAATACACGTTGGCATACCCACTCACAGGAATGAAGGTTCTCCTTAGCCAAAGCATTAAAAAGGTTCGAGCCGTCAATTACAATAATGAACATCCAAAGTCCTGGCCTGAAAGTTTTAGCAATC